TGCAGGATTTACTGTTTCCTTAAAACTACAATACCCAGCCATTTTAGGAAACTACTTAGGTTTGATTAAAATATTTATTTGTAAGCCATTTTAAAGGTTGACATCTGCAGTCAGTAGGAATGGTATTCGGGTTAAAGACAGAGTAGCAAAGTCAAAATGTATTGAGACACTGTGGAGCACTTTGCTGGTTTTGGTCTTTTCATTTAATTTTTGGCAATAAGAAAAATATGAAATATAGAAAAACACCAGCTATATCCTTTAAGAAGCCCCTCCCACACACCACGACCTAATGTAAGTTTAACAAATCAGAGTTGGTTAACCATGCTCTACTTCTACATTACTCTCACTCTGTCTGTCTCTCTCTTTCCCCTTTAGTCTGTGTCAGTCTTTCTCTATGTTTTTCTCTCTATAATTCCATGTTTTTCTTCTGTTTCTCTCTCCAATGATGAATTATTGAACATGAGGTATCCCATTTTAGACTCTCTGGGTAGTCAGTGTGTGTGCTTCACCGACAGTATATATTTGTGTGTTAAAAAACCCACCAGAGGGCAATGGAAGAAGATGGAGATAATTGCAAAAACCTTTTCTATTTCACTCACTGACATACTTTTTCACTTCATTGCGTCCCCTCTGTCTGAATCTTCTGCATCTGGGTTGTCCCCAAGTGGTTTTCCCTAAACATCTCTGCTTTATCTGCAGTTTAAGGCCTTTATATTTGAAAGCAGCTTTGGCATTATAAGCAATTGTAAAACCCTGATCTGTAGCGCAGGCACTTAGTTGCTTTAATCGTATAGTTTAACGTCCAGTGTGTGTTTTTCAGAGAGACCATTTCTTTTAAGAACCACAGATTTTATTTTAGTCCTGAGGAGTACTACTTGTTTAATATCTTATGGGACTCTGGATGGAGATTTCTAAAGTCTGAGACAATAATCCTTATGATGTTATAACCATAAATCTAGTTTTAGAAGGAGGTATGCATGTACCAGGAATGGAAGCTCTACGAAGATGTTATTGAATTGAATTATATCAAATGTAGGATACAGTGTTTTTTATTCAAGTCAGGAAAACTTGGCCCCTGCTCAGTAAGTTCTTTTTTTGGTAGTTTATGAAAACACTAAATCAGTTTACAGTAATTTAAGGAAATTAAAAGATATATTTCTTACATCTAAATATTAATAGTAACATTCATATATAGGTTTGGATTTTTTACACAAATGAACAATAAAATTAGGATTAGCATATTAACAACTAGAGTAAAGTAATTAGAAGCAACCAAAATAAATTCCTCATTAATACCTTTTAGTTTGAAATGATTTAGTGGAGATGAATTTTGACAATCAAGACCCAGGCCTCCTTCACCATTTATGCCGATGTGATGTGTGTGCGTGTGTGTTTGATTGCAATGGCTCCCAGTAATAGCCTTCAATTATAGGCAGGGGTCTCAGATTGAGCCATTCAGGCATTAAGTGAGCACAAAAGGGTCCATGTATGCAGAAAGAGATAGATCAAAATGACTTTCAGCAAAAAAAAAAAAAAAGCTGAAGGGACCCTTCTAAGTTATAGGAACCAGCAATAAAGGTTGAAATGTGGGAAATGCAGTGCGGGGCAGGTAGAAGAGAGAGGGGTAAATTAATGAAGAGTGGGATGATGTGAGGGAGGAAGACACTGAGAGAACAGAGAGAGGAAAGAGAGGCTAGTGACAAAGAGGGGGAAGGGATAAAAGAGCAGTGGCGTACAAAGGGAAAGCGAAATGAGAGAGAAAGAGAAGTGATGTTTGAGGCATGAAGGCATGCAGAGAGCGAGAGAGTGGGGGAGAGAGATTTAATAGGATGAGAATGTAAAGAAAAAGAGGATAGAGAGAAGCCTGATATACAACTAATGGGCTTGGATATAATTTGAGGGACTTTCCTCTCCTCTCTGTTCTCACAGATACAGGAATATACCCCGGTCTAGTTGTAAAACAGTCAATATGACAGCGTCTCTGCATGTGTACAGCTGTTCAAGCCATGACTAACAGGCATATTAATGCATCTCATCACCCGGACAAGTGTGTCTCTCATGCACAGCACGCACATTGAAAAGTACATAACCAAACACGCATAAATACACATGAACAGATGTAAATTAAACCTGCATTAAAGGTTCAGTGTGTAACTTTTGGGAGGAGGCAAAAATGGAATATAATATTCATAGGTATATTTTCATTATCAAACAGTTGTATATATACATCCAGCAGATAGGGAGCAACATTATTATTCATTTGGAGTCATGTTTGTCTACTCCCCCGACAAACTTAAGTCCAATACGCACTCTCTTCTAGCTCTGTTTTGTCTCGACCAACTCAGATATCTGGCTCTTTAGCTGCTAAATGCTCCCTTATGTTGACTAGCTGCTAGTTGCTAACTGCAGTTTGGTGCTGAGCAGGTAGTGTAAAGTGGGTTTTTTACAACTGTTTCACTGAAAACAGCTGCTGTTGAAGGCAGGGTTTATGGAAGTATTGAGGGCAAACCAGAGCTGTAAAACCAACACAAATGTGCTGAAAATGAAGGGAACTGCACAACTGTGGTTTGGTCATTACGAGTGATGTCTTCCACATGATATGCAGTCATGTGAACAACGAGAACGTGAAGGCTCATAATACTAAACTGATAGTGGATTTTTAGGCTAACAAGGTTGATATTTAAAAAAACAAAACGAATCTAATGACAATTTATCAACTAATATTTTTTTTCTATCTTCTTTTTGATAAATAGACAATCTGCACAAATCTTTTTTGGGAAGAACTAAATTAAAGTTGAGTTAAATTAAACTTGAAATCAAGAAGAACGTGCATCCTACAGTCTTTTTTATTATATTTTACTCCACTGCAGTTTATGTAAAATGGCTGCTGATGTTGACCCTGGCTGTAACACATAGCATACTGTATATGTGTAATTGTGCTTGGATAACAACATGTCAGTGTCTTGATTGAGTGCCCCGGTTATAAAAAGGTGAAGACAGAGAGTCAAGTGGACCGGGTCATAGTGAAGATGGTGAGCTGTCAGCCAGTGAACCCGACAAGAGTTATGCTAATGGAGGACAAGGAGGTAATAGGGTCATTTAATCACTGCTGAGTGAGTGGGGAAAGGTTTGTGACTAGATGGGTTAGACCTTCATCACCATTTACCAGAGAATCCACTAGACTTCTATGCTCCTACAAAACATGATAGAGAAGAGGAGGAATGCATAAACTACCACATACAACATTTTACTCGCAGACATGTTGGCAAACGATGATACTGCTGTGAGTTTGTTCGTTGTTTGTCTGCGCGCAACAGTTCTGTGCAGTGGAAAACAGTGTTACTGAAGTGAAATAGATTTATTTAAGAACAGGATGTCTGAACGCCTACAGTGCGCCCCTCTGCCACTCTCAACAGACGTCCAACACATCTGTTAGCAACACACGCACACACACGCATACACACACACAGATCAGAAGTTGGCTGTGAGACTAAGCTGACATATTAACAACCCAGCATTGTAAAGGCCGTGGTTTCTATTCTTAGTCAAGTTGATTTTGCTGGAATGAATGAACGACCTTTATGCTGAAATAGAATCACAATTATCTCCTGTCCGGTGTGTGTGTGTGTGTGTGTGGGTTACATGCAAGAAAGAAAGACAAGGATCGTTGTAGCAGCGTGCGCGTGTGCCTACCATGAATACACACCGAGCTGCTTTCTCCTGTCAGGTCCTGCCAGATCAGATCTGTTACACTTGCTCTTCCTCTCTACTTCTGTCCTGTTTCTTCTTCTTCATCCCCTCCCCCCCCACACACAACCGGGTTCCCTACCCGTCTTGTCCCCCTGTTCTCCAGTTTCCATGGCAATGGATGACATAAATAAGATAAGGGTCTGGTTAGAAGAACAGCCACGGAACTTTGTATTCCCATCATGTGAAATTTTGTCATGTTGCATCACAATTAGCCTGTTAATGCTAAAAATGAAAAGACGAAAGAAGAAATATGTAGGCATCTTTTTCTTTTAAATCGGCGCATGAGAACATTGGCTTCCTTCTTATTGTGGACAACATACCTTTATTATCCAGTAGGCATCAGCACCAGCTTGACAACTGAAACTCAAGTATTATCAACCTCAGAATAATGAGGTTAGACAGAAACTTGCCTGAAGTATTGTTATGTATTTGAGCACACACAATGCCAAGTAACACCAGCATAATGCACGATACAGGGAGGTCTATCTTAATGTAATACAACACACCCTGTGTGTACCATTTAACACATTATATCTAATTTGTATCATTTTTACAAAAAAGTAACGGTTTAACGGAGGTTTTCTGCCTGACAAGAACTAATCCGGCTGATGCTAAGCTAACCGGCTGCTAACTGCAGCTTAATATTTAATGGACGGTTTTCCATTTTCTCATCTAAGTCTCTATAATAAAACGAATAAACAGATTTTCCAAAATGTCAAACTATTGAAAAAGCGAGTGAAAAACCAAGGAAAGCTAAACTTTGAAGTAACAGTTGCAACTTTTAATTCTGAACATCCAATGACACTTTTTGTCAACTATATTCTCCCAAGGTCAAGAAGAAAGACAGATCAAACGAACATATTTACTGTTTTACTGTCTTAGAAAGACTGCTGCACAGTCAATATGCACATGTCTTGAAATTATAACTTTAATGAAGCAGTTTGTCTTGATTTTGGGGGGGAATTTATTCTCTCACCTGCCATCAGGAGCACCTGCTTTGGGTTACATCGCTGTCAGATCCAATTAGCGGCTACTTCCTTTGTTTATGACATCAAATTCAGGTGTTTTCTCAGGGTTATTGACAGCCATGGCCGGAAATGTTGGAAATCACTGACTGGAAATAGATGTTAGAAGCTGAGGTAAAAGTGGGTACACAGAAAAAACAACATTTAGTTTACAATAAAACTCTTTAAAATCAGCAAACTTAAAGGGATGATAGGTGACGGTGTGTATGTCTTGTTGTCTTTCAGGTGTTGTACTTGCAGCAGGCCGAGGTTACCAGGGAGCGGGTCTACGCGATGCACCAGTCCAGCATCGACGGGGTGGAGGACATGTCGGCACTGGCTGAGCTGCATGAGGCCGCCATCATGCACAACCTGTACCAGCGCTACCAGAAGGATAACATCTATGTAAGTGCATTCAGATAGACACACGTGTTCGTGGGTTTTTAAGTATGTGTGAGAGTGTGTGGCCAAGGTTTTGTGTGTACATTATGTGTCTTGATGTGCTCCCCTTTGCCTTTTCCAGTAATCTTTGCATGCATAAGGCTTTTAGTGGCAAACACAAATCATCTTAACGGGTCCATCTGCTCTAAGTGGAAAAGGTGGAGACAGACGCGAGAGTCTTATAGTGTGAGAATATTATTGTAAATTAAGTCAACGGTTAAAATAACAAATTAATCTCCACTTCTTTAGAGTTGTAATCTTCAAGTTTTAAATCCTGGATTATTTGGCGACACCCATTGTTACCATGGTAACAGCAAGTACATTTAATACTACAGAAAACATTCCTCAGACAGCTAGTTTGTCAGAAATACAACAGTGGAGCAAGTAGTTTATCTATATCTGATATATCAATTGTTTCAATAACAATTGCTACCACAATGTGAGTTCATGCTACACACACAGTGAAGTTGTGCTACCATACTGAGGAGCTGGAGGTGAATTTGTCATTTCATGATTCCATGTTTTCGTTTCTCCCATCAAAAAATTCCAAACTAACGAAAAATGCAGAAAACAACAATTAGTTTTTTAGACACATTTTCCTCACTCAACAACTCTCAAAATATTGTGGTTACTAGTTTAATGGTGAAATCAGTTGGAAAAATGTGTTCACAAACATCTGCTGCTTATCTTGGCAGGTAAGAGAGCCCAAACAATGAATTAACCATAAAGTTTACTCTAATTTGCATTATAGTGAACTAAATAGAAATCAGACATTGTCCATTTTGTGTGTACTTACATGATTTCAGTTGAGTATACGGTCCTTCAGTGTGGCTCAGGA